ATAGGACGTTTCTGTAATTCAGTATCAATATTAAAGCATACATTTGGTGGCATTTCCGCCCCAACCATGTACATGTATGGCATTGGTATTGGTGTGACTTTTGAATTGATTTTTTCGCTCTATTTAAAACTAATTTGAAATTTTATAAATTGCCTGCACATCAGCATCAAAATACCTTTCTTATGATATATAATTGTTTATACCTTGGAAGTATAGTTTAGCCGTAAAAGGGGTGTAGAGGAAACATGATTGCCTATTTATATAATTGATATATTATAATATTAATAATCAAAGATTTTCTTTTCTAATAACAAACAAATTCATAGAACAATAAATTTAACTTCAAGAATTTAAACAAGTTAAACAGTTTAATTACCTTACATAGTGCTACTACAAACCAGGATTGTTTTGACAAAAAAGCTTAGAATATCTTTTAGATTGTACAATTGCTGAAATTCGTCGTACAGGTCCAATGTTAGTATGCTTGAACCTGATGTGACTGTAAGTTTGAAGTATTGATAAGAAGCATATCTCAACAATCTCCTGCACATTCACGCAGTTGTTGCCTAAAGCATCTTCCTCCTGGGGGCAAAAAAGCAGCGGCTGGAGAATATTAATTAAAAAACTTCCCTACAACTGGCAAATAAATGCTGCTTTAAAATTCAACCTTCACTCTTTTATTTATTTCCGTCAAAACAACTGGCTAGGAACTTCGAATTTCCTGTGGTAACGCGATGATATTCTGGGGGGCAGAGTTCCGAATACTTAACTACGACAATTCTGATTCCAGCATAGGGGTGTCAGAAAATTCACTGGATTTACGTTATGTAGATAGTGACTAAGTTACTACGCACGCACACACACACTCATGCACAAATGTGAAGAAAATAACCATTTTCCCCCTATACGTACGTGTCGCATTCAGTCAGCTACGACATAAAGTAAACATATAGCTGCACTCCTTTATTTTCCTTCGTCAGCCGGTGAAGACTGCAGTGTTCATATAGCGATTTTAAAATAACTAGGGGTTCAAAATACTGTAATTTTCTCATTTAATTTGCTTTTTCTGTGCTTTGACTGCGGCATGTATGGTATCGAAAGCAAAGCAACAGCAATTCAGAAAAAAGCAAATGCTTTGCCTGTCGTTTTGCTGTACAATTTTGAAAGCAACCAGATAGTTAAAAAACAATTTCTGAAAGCACAACGACAGCGCAGCTGCAGCAAAGCAACATAAATTTGACGATCAATTGGCTGTGAAACAATAAATTGGCAGAAATATGTATGCATGCACAAATGCACTACCCATCCATTCTACTGGTGACAAGAGACGATGCATTACCGATAGTTAGGCAATTCGCTACCGATTGGTAATCGCCAATTTTGCACCAGATAATCACTAGCGAAAGGTCATGCCACTCGCACTGCTCGGTAGGCGACAATGACATCGCCCTGTTCAATTCGCTAAACAAATAAATTGATATCGCCAATTTTGTGTGTACTCACTCCTGGCGAGTCAGCGATAATACACCATCTTGCAAAGCTTCATTTGCACGGGACGGTCAAGCAGATCACAGCACACGAAAAGTACTATCACAGCAAATCAAAAGCAATAAATTGTTTTCAATAAACTGCCGATAAAAAAACAAAATACAATTTTCAAAGTCACAGTGAAAACAAGGCAGTTCGAATGAAACTCAAAAATTTCAAAGCGAAACAAAAGCAAAAACGAGTAGTGCTTTTGCTGCTATACTGATAGTTTTTCAAACCCTGAAAATAACCTTAAATTTTTAAAACAAATTTTTTAAATTTTTTTAAAACTCGAAATGAAGAGTTCTCTCTACATACATATGTACATATACGTAGCCGAAAAACAAATCTGGAATTAAAAAAAACTTTAAATTTATTTCGTATGGAGATCGAATTACATACATATAAGTTAAACAGTTTAAGAAATTAACATATTTTGATTATATTATAATCAAAAGAAAAGTAATCGAGTAACCTTTCTATTGATATTAATTTAATATTAAAAATCTTTGAATATTGTTAACGAAAATTCACTTTTCTTACAACTTTGCAAAATTTGATGTAGTTTCCCTGCGTATTAAGGTGGTAAAAAATAACAGACTTTCATTTAGAAGTCGCTTAAAGCGATTTTATTTTTGCATATAAGTTTGTTCATATTAATATAGGAAAAAAGTTTTTAGTTAATTAGGGCTGCTTTTGATGTTCCTGGAAATTAGGCTCGAACTATGTTTTCCGTGAACTGATTACTCTATTCTATAAACACTCGCTTGGTATTACACGATACGTGATCGTATCCCGGTTATCGTAAGCCTCAAATAGTG